AAAATAGTTTTCAAAAAGGATCGGGTTAAAAGGGCTTACCTCCTCCACGGTACAATGGGGGCGCCTCAGACCCTTGCCACCCTCTTCAGTAATCATCTCTGTTACAGCCTGTTCCTGAGGTTTCCACGTTAAGGAACTCTCTGGATTGCCTTTGCTATGGCGACGGCCACCTGGTCTTCTATTATAGCCTTCTGAGTTCAAAGTAAAACTGAGGGACAGGAAAAAAATATTCAAGTTACCACCTAACTGCTTAAATTGCTAGAATCTAAGATCCAGACCATTCTCTGATTAGGATTTCCAGGTTAAGCTTTCTCTGGACAAATCAGATAACTACTATTTACAAAGGTTAGATCTGGAGCAAAGGACATCCCAGAATTCCACTATGGAATGTCTATTTCCAATAACCAGGGCTACTGAATGAAAGCCTCTGCCTTCTTCCTCATATCTAACTTTCCAACCCCAACTCTGGAATTAGCTCCCCTGTTACACATACCCTCCTCTTATACTGCACTTTTTCTTTAGTCACCGGAATTGACATCACTGGAATTAATTATTGGTTTGACTGATTATTGTCTATGTCCCCCTCTAAACTTTAAATTCCACAAAGATAAGATTATATCCTTTTACCACTGTAGCCTAGTATATGATCTAAGCCAAAAAGCACTCAATAAATATCTGCTGAATGCTAAATTAATGAATATAAATTAATAAATGCTACAATGGAAGCCATGAAGCCCCAACCTAGTCACTGCTGCTGGTGACAGAGACTGCCTCTCCTGCCATCACCAATAAGGGGACAAATTGATATCATACCTTTCTTGATGTGATGTTTTAAAAAGGATACAACACCATGTATATAATATTTTTGCAAAAAAAAATTACGTACTCTAAACAAATCATGAGTAAACATCAGACAAAAGGGGCATTCTACAAAAGAAATGTTTTGTACTCTAAAAGTATCTATGCCGTTAAAGACAAAGAAAGGCTAAAGAGTTGTTCCCGATTAAAGAAGATCAACAAGACATGAAGTTAAATGTAATACATGATCCTGTACTGAAAAAAGAAGAAAAGATAAAAAAAATAAGTACACAGTAAAAATAATCACTATTATAAAGACATTTAAATAAGATTCTATAATATACTTATAACAATATTAAATTTTCTGATTTATGTAAGTGTCCTCATTCTTAAGAAATAAACATATTCAATCAAGTACTTATGACTAAAGAGGCATGAGTCTAAGATTGACTAAATGGTTCATAAAAAAATATGTATATGACAGAGAATGATAAAGCCATTTGGCAAAATGATAACAACTGGTGAATCTGGTCAAACAAAGACAAAATACACAAAGCAAAAACTGACATAACTGGATGGAGAAATGGACAAGTCTGCAATTATAGTAGGAAACATCAACACTCCTTGCTCATCAATCAATAAAAAAGTAGGCAGAAATCAGTAAAACCTGTAAAACATTATCAGCAAACTTGAACTAGGACACTCCACCCAACAATAGCAGAATATGCACTCTTTTCAAGTGCACATTGAACATCAACCAGATAGACCATATTCTAGGCCATAAAACAAATGTTAACAAATTTAAAAGAACTGAAACCATATTAAGTATATTCTCTGACTATAATGGAATTAAACTAAATAAAAGAAAGATATCTGGAAAGTCCCAAATATTTAGAAATTAAACAATATAATTCTACACTTCAGAATAATCACTGGTTAGAGAGGAAGTAAAACAGAAATTAGAAAATATTTTAAATCGAATGAAAATTAAAACCAACATTTCAAGATGTGTGGGATGCTGCTTAAGCACTAAATGCTTATTTAGAGAATAAGTTCACCTCTCAATATTTAGTATGTATCTCCCAAGAACAAGAACATCCTTTACTTAACCACAATACAACCACCAAATTCAAGAACTTCAGCAATGATACATTATGTAATATTATGTAGCCCATATTCAAATTTCTCCAAAGATAGTAAAAAATATCCTTCGCAGTAATTTTTTTCCTATCTAGGATCCAATGAGGAGGTCGGTCACATTGCATTTAGTTGTCATGTATCCTTAGTCTCCTCTAATCTGAAACAGTTTTTCAGCCTGTCTTCCTTTTTATAATGAAGAGAGTACAGGCCTGTTGTTTTGTAGAATGGACCCTAAATTTAGCTTAACTAGTTTTCACATTCTTAGATTCAGATTATTGATTTTTGCAGGAATACGAATTAGGCGATGATGTCTTTCTCAGTACAATATATCTAGAGGCCATGATGTCAGTATGTCCCACTGTGGGTGGTTTTAACTTTGATCCTTTGGTTACAGTGGTATCAAGCAGGTTTCTCCATCCTAAAGTTACTATTTTTCTCTTTGTAATTAATAAGTAATTTGTGGGGAGGTATTCTGAGTTTATGTAAATATACCATACCTCATCAAACTTTTACTTACTAGTTTCAGCTCAATTGATGATCCCTGTACATATCAATTACTATGATAGTTACAAAATGATTTTTTTATTTAAATTCTATCATTCCTTCTATACTTACTAGGTGGGATCCACTATAAAGATCTTTCCCTCCCACACTATATATTTATTTACTAGCATCTATATTTCTGTCTTTATTTACTGTGATGCTTAAATTGTTCCCAATTTTTGGCCAGTGAAAGCCCCTTCAAGTTTCTCCCTATGTCAACATGTCCTTTAATTTCTGGCATAAGATGTTTCAAACTCATTTTGTACTTTCTTTCTTAGCCCCACAATCAGCCATTTAGCCAACTCCAGAGAGCTCTAGTTTTTAGTTAGTATCTCATTTTTAAATATGAGTGGATAGTCAATATTTGAATAAAGACTCTAATATGAAAGATAGGACCAAAACAAAGTAAAGGGTAGGGATGATTCAGAGGAAGCAGATAAATCAAGTAGGAGAAGAAATTTTAAAATAATTAACAGCTTTAGAGAAATAAGAAAAGATATTGCATCCTTACAATAAGAACAAGATGCTCGGAGAAAGAAAAACCCATGGAGTAAGGAGGGGTAGGATGCTTACAACTTAAAAACTATGAAGCCAACAACAACAATGAAATCAGTAAAAGATTTTTTTAAAAAGGCCAAGGACAATAATAAAAGAGAATATATAAGAAAATTAGATCAATCCAGAAGATCTAATATCCAAGCAGTAGCAATTCTAGAAAGTGAGAACATAGAAAGGAAAAGAAAATTACTAAGAATAGTTCAGTTTATGAAAATGCATCAGGCTAAACACATAATTTCTGCACTTTCCTGTATGTATATTATACTTCAAAAAAAGTTTAAAAGTGAACTACAATTATTTTTTAAAAGGTTTTCAAAATCAGATGATATGGGCATATAAAATGGTAGAAAAAGTAACACACACCTGAGTTCAGGTCTCTCACTAGCTGCATGATATTCAGCAAGGCGATAAACTCAGAGTACTTACTTAACAAGATTACATAATAGAATAAAAGTGAGAATGCCTAGCAAGTGCTAAGTTTCCATTTAAAGAAAGGCAGAATTTAAAACTTACCCGAAGGAAGGCAGGACTCTGCGAGGCTGATCTCGGGTTACCGTCACTCTGATCTTTGGATAGTCACTTATTCCATTAGGAGATTTATTACCTATTTTAAAAACGCATTTGTAATTGTAAAACAGAACAAAACACCTGCGAACAGTCTGCATTAGAAAAATCTGTGAGCAGTCTACACTGTAGAACTAAATGTCTTATCTTTTCAAATTTTATTACTGTACAGCAGAGAAGTCCAGAACAAACTTTGTAAAGTTAAAGGAAAAGCAATAGTGCTAGTTTGTCTCTGATCTCAATAGGCAATAACAATTCAGAGGCAAGCTTTTCTAGTTTTGCTTGCTGGGAGCAAGAGGCATAAAGAACTCAATGATCACAAACTCTAAGTAATCTAATCAAATTATTTCTTCTTCTCAAGAAAACATAAGTATTTTTAAATGAAAATCTGCCATATGTTACTATGTTTCAGTAGAAGCTTCTAAAACTTGTGAGATGGTTCCTGTACTTTGAAAAAAGGTAATCGAATTTTCATCAGCCACATTTTTCTGCTGTTGCTATTATAGAGGTTTGGCGTCCCTAAGGACTCCAAAATGCAAAGAGGTCTAAAATTGAAAACTTTTTCACAAGTCAGTAGCAGCAAAACCTAAACTGACCTAAATTCATTTGTTTGCAAAACCTAACCTGAACCAATGTTCAATCCCAATGGGTGTCTTAATAATATTCAATAAACATGATATATCTAAACAGGAAAAGTTTGGAATTCCCAAACACATCTCCAAGAGTTTCAGATTAGAGACTGTGGACTTCTTTATACAAAAAACCTGCCCTAGGAATACCTGTGCTTCCCCACTAGGTTACACAAACCCAGAGAAATATCGGGCACAAGATAAATCTACCATCCCTTCCCTATGTCAATTTTAATGGCAAATAATTTCAAACATTTATATAGTCACACAATATGAACAGATTATGAAATCTAATTGCATTAACTTTTAAAATGAAATGAAAGACCTATCATCTTTGCTCCAGGTCCCTTGGAACTAGATTCTCAGACTCAGGGGTACATATTTACGTTCCTTTTCTCTGCCATCAGAAGTACTTTACTAAAAAGGTTTGAGAAGCAATACTCTAAAGTTTTTCTCATTTCCTTAGCGTCTTCTGCTTTTGTCTTCTGAAGTCGCAATTTCTCTAAAAGCTCTTTTTACCCTTCCTTTCAAATTTTACAAACCTACCTGTGTGGCAGAGATCACAATCATTTCAGAACTCTGGCTTCTTCCTATTTTTCCCCACCATAGCATTTTATACAGTATGTAAAACAATTACAATTCAATTTAAGGGTCTGGATGATATGAAGGTTCCTAATCCATCGAAGTGTAAGAACTGGGAACCTAAGGTTGCTCCCCAATCAGATGATGACCCTGAAACGCAGGATTTTACTATTTTGTTATTATTTTGTTTTGTTATTAAAGGTTTCATTTTGTTGTTCCTGATAATTTAGCAGTGCCTGGCACAGAGTAAGCTCTCGAGAAATGTTTTTCTTCTTTTTTAAATGAATGAAACTTAATCCAAGTCACATTAAATGCACTGATAATACAAACAGAAAACATAACAGTAAATTCAAAGACAATTCTAAAGGGAACTATTTGCTTTTTAGAATGGCAGAGAGAATATTTCTGTGTTATTATCCAAACCCAAAACAGTGTTATCCTTTCATATTCTCAAAACTCAGAAAAAGAGGCAGGAGGTAGGGGGAAGCAGAAATGTTTTTGGCCACCTCACCCAGTTTCAGCATGTTGTTCCAGGATCCAGAACCTGTCAGTTCACAAGATGAAGAGTTCGAAAATACCTTAAAATCAAATAGAATCGCCTCTGTAGTATCTAAATTTTAGAATTTAAATAAGTTTCTAATATGAAAAAAAAAAAATCATTCTATTGGTGATTATTTAGCTAGCTCACAGGAGAGATACCGATAAGATCAAAGGTTTGATTTGTAAAGACCCACAAAATGATGTAAAAAATAAAAATTCCAGAGTCTTCACACATACTTATTATTAGTAATTAGTCTCTTTATAAATATTTTTTAAATGTGTAATGTCTTAACTTTTAATTTTTTGGCCTTTTTATCAAGGCTAATAAAGACATGAACATTTCTGAAGTCATTCTACACATTAATTCCTAAAATGAGAATATTTCTAAAATTTAATTTTAATGATTAAGTACAAAAATCCATAGCCCCATTGGAGCCCTATCCCCACTGACCTCTCCTGAAGGGGCCACATTCCGTGTTCCATTACAAGCAGAAGTTACCATGGGCTTTGTAGTCAGCTGGAATGGGAATCCAAATAAGCTGGCAGCATTGTAGAGACTGTTTTTTACTTGGTGAATAAAGCAATCTAGAAAGTGTAATATACATTACATATACATATAAATATAGAGTAATAAGCCTCTAGCAAAAAAAAAATAAGATTGTATCTTAGAAAAGGCCTCTCAATTTTTATAAGTCCTATTTTCAATCATTGAGATAAGAAAGAATCTGTAAAAATATTTTTTCTCCTATCTGAGTAACTGGAATTCCAGCATTGTGATTTTTGTTTTTTTAGTAAAATATCTGGGATGCTATAAAAACCTGAAACTATCACTTTAGTAAATCACACACTGATTCACAAAAGAAAAGTCCTGAAATGACAGCTTTTAAGCAATGAATTCTCCCGAAAACATAAAAAAGAATCTATATCAAAGAGACAAGGGCATAACTTAAAAACCTAAAGCACATAGTCACTAGGTATGGCAGAATCCTACAGGAAACACCATTCACTGACTGATTTGTCCTTATTTCCCAGGCAGGTAACAGTATAGTTATCCTAAACAACTTACTTAGTGCCTATTCAATCTTGGCTATGCCCAGGGTGGAAATGAGTGAAGTATAAGATATGCCAATTCTTAAATATGTATGATGAAACAAAGCTATCCCTCTACTGGAGAAGATGTGCTGGAAGATCTCAGACTCATCCCTCCCTGCCACCAAAAATAAAGATTACAAAATAAGTAAGTAAATAAGCAAGGGGAGGGGTAGATTTCAGTGTTTTACCAACTTCCTCCTTTTATCACTACTCCTTTCTTACTTCCTATGCTATTGTTTTCTACAATTTCCTTTCTGTTTTACCTTAGCCACATTCTGCTTTAGAGAAAAATAGCCTGAAGTTAATTTAAAATGATGGCTTTTAAGCAACAAGCTCTCCAGAACACATAAGATACAAAATACTTTCTAGAAAGATAAGGGAATAGTTTAAACAACAGGGAGGATGTGATAGCTGGGTAAAGCAGAATCCAATTTGAAGTAATTTGTAGAGAACAGTTGAAAGAACCAAAGTTTGCAAATGACTAGTTTCTCATTTTAGGAATTAGAAAAAATTCCAAGTTCTCTCTCTAATAATATTGAGCTTTAAATGGTAGAAAAAGAGTTTTAGGGACTGGTGCTGAATCCACAGACTGTCATTCAAACCCAGAGGACAAGAGGTACTCTTAATAACATAGTTAAATAGTGGACACTAAAAAGTACTGTATTATTTAGTTTCCAACAAATTTTGTCAAAATCTGAGTATGCCCAAGATTATGTCAAAAGATCTCACTGACTTTAAAAAAAAAAAAAAAAAAAAGGTCTGCCTCATTTATAAAATGGGATAAGACCATCTTATTTTCCTATAGACTAAGATCTCTTAAACTTCCTTTCACCTACAAGATCATGAGTCTGCAATTCTAAGGTCCTCCTTCTTTTCTTTTACCCATCTTTTTACAAATAGAGTGGTACTGTCCGATACAGAAGCCAGTAAGCTATATGTAAGTTACCTAAGTTTAAATTTAATTAAAATTAAATTCAGTTCTTCAGTAACAATAACCCCATTTCAAGTGCTCAATAGCCATCATGGCGGAGTTCTATTGGACAGCATTGCTATCTATACAACTTTACATACTCTGCCAATAAGTATTTCCTCTGCGACCCATTGCTTCACCTTTGGCTTAGGTTCCCTTCTCTAGTTTCCATCCAGAAAATCATAATACATATTTCATGGAAATCATGGTGGGAGAAATCCTTAACATACAAGTCCATAAAATGGATGACTGCCAGAATTATTTCAGGAACCTTCTGTAATTCCACTAAGTTATGATTTTTTTTACTACCTGCAGCTATCAAATGTATTTGAAAGGTAATTTTATATTGCTACTATTAATGTAAAGCAATATTATTTGTTTTAGAAAAGAATGAAAACACAACATTAAGTTCTAGCTGCACTTATTAAAAAAGGAGAGATGAGCATGTAGTTTGACCCTTGAACAACACAGGTTTGAATTGTGTGGGTCCACTTATATACAGATTTTTTTTCAATAAATACTGCAAATGCATTTTCTCTTCCTTACCATTTTCTTAACATTTTCTTTTCTCTCACTTTATTGTAAGAATACAGTATACAACACATATTAACATATAAAATGTTAATAAATCAACTGTTTATTGATAAGGCTTCCAGTGAACAGTAGGCTATTAGTTAAATTTTGGGCGAATCAAGTTATACATGGATTCTCAATTTTGATGTGGGAGAGTGATCGGTACCCCCCATGTTGATCAAAGGTCAACTGTATTCAACAAATATTGAAAACATACTAGCATTAAATAAAGATTTTCTGCTTAAAATAATCATTAAAAATAACTGAAAAGGATACAACTTTTTTTTAGTATATAATATAATTCCAATGTTACTTAATGCTATGAACATTGTATCTCCTAAAATTATTCCCTGACTGGAATTTATCCTGCACTTTGAGAAATACTGTTCTAATGAATTTGAATATTCTTGGCATTCAAAGTCCTCCAAAATTTGACCTCTCTTGCAAACTTTTTCCCTGAATTCTATTCACTATTTCCTGAATTACATAAATTTCCACTACTATTTATTCTCTCTACCTAGAAAGTTTTTCCTTCTATTGCTCTCTATTGATAACCTATCCAACCTTCAAGATCCATCTCCGATACTAGCTCCTCCATCAAATATTCACTGAGACTCTTAACCAGCTGAAAATTGAATAGTATTTTGTTACTTTCTTATTTCATTTATCATATTCTCATTGACACTGGTATTATTTGCTTTTCTTATATCCCCCATATATAATCACATACTCCTATAATTTTAAGGTTCTTAAAAATAGAGACCTTGTCTTAACTCTTTTTTGTATTTCCTGCAGAACCTAAGACAGGTCTTAGAAGGAAGACATGTTCAGTAAGTACTCATTGGATTTAAATGAAATCTTAATGCAGACATGTCCACTCTTAATAACTATATCTCAAGGTAGATCCAAATTCATGTATTTTTTTGAGAATGAGGAAAATATTATTATAGTATTCCATCGTGCTGCCTTTTTCCTTTAATTTTATTCTCTTTTACCAAGTGATGTCTAGCCCTTCAGATTATAGGGAATGTAAACATCTTGGGGCAACATATTAGATTGATTCACTCAGCTATCTGAACTAGATGACTCAGTTTGAAGTAATTTTTACAATGTTTTCTTCTCAAATTTAAAAAGTACCTTTTCTTTATAGGAAGATTTAGAATTTTAAAATGTATATTCGACATACAGGCTTATCCATCTGGAAAGAATTCCCTGATAACAGTGGTTACCTCCAGAAAAGATAACTGAGTATAAAAGAGACTTACTTTTTACGGCATATACATTTTACCTTTTGAATTTTGTTCCATGCATATAGTTTTCTTGTTTAAAAAACTAATTTTTAAAATTAATATTCAATACCTAATCTTGGTCTTTTGGCTGGTATTTCATCAGTGTCCACTGTAGAATACAGAGTACTGAGAAAAGAGAAAAAAGAAAAATATATATGTGCGTATATATATATCCATATACACATTTATATACACATATAACCATTTCTATAAGTAAACTCAGTATTCATACAACACACCTCCCTCCATCCACTTTGTCATAAAATGAGATCCAACTGATGTTTTAAAAAGAATACTACTCTATAGGAGGCCTTCAGCATTTGAGGACTTAACACTATGGTTTCAACTATTTGAGAGACCCAAAACTTTCTATCATATAGTGATCTGTAATCTGGCTAAAGTACAACTTGATTTTAGCCACAAATCCTTTACCTAGTAAACAAACATAGGTAAGAGCCTAGATCTAGTTATTTCCTTTTTTTCTCCAGAAATGACTTATAAACAATTTCCTTTTGAAATATGACACCCTTCCTCCCCCCAAAGTCATTTTCTACTTTAGGTAAAAGCAGACAATATAGAAGCTTTAATAGTTCTTAGTCAGAAAAGCTGTTATATTTCACCGCAGTTTTTTCATGGAAACTATATTACAGTGGTAATAATGAATTTCAGTTATTGGACCTATACCTCAACAGTGGTAAAGGTTCATGGTACACTATTAATTATCTTTCGAAAGATGATTATGATGATCATATTTACAAAAAAAAAAAATGAACAGAATCCCAGGAGAATGACATTGAGTTCATTATTTAAACATCCCAACAAGACCTCCTGGCTTCATTTTGGCTGAAAAATGGCTTATATTGAGAAGAGTTGTTTTTAAATTAAGGATGTGTGCTAAAGAACAGGGTTTTTACCTCCAAACAACTGTATCCCTGACTAGCAGAGATTTGTAGCAAAAAGAGAGGACAGGGGAGAGCAAATTAACATTCCCTTATTGAATAAATATGTATCAAGTGCCTATCATGCACCAACCTCCTCACAAGGCCCTTGAGGTAGAATAAATACTACCCCTATATATATTAAGCATCATTCTAGGCACTTTACAACATGTTTTCAAATGATCCTTATATCAACCCTATAGAAAGGTGGGAAGGAAGAATAAGTTGAAACCTTGCCCTCTCTAGAACACATAAAAGAATTCAGCCAATAGTCAATTTCATCAATGACCTGTATTAATCATCTTGTTCTCTCAAATTCCAAGAAACCACCCTTCAATGATCTTGAGGCTTAGTAAAAAAAAAAAAAAAGAAAAGAAAAAAAAAGAAATTAACACTTGATTACTAAAAGTTGAGGGGTGAATAGAATTGGTGTGGTATTTTATTCTCTAATTCTTAGGCCAGGGGGTTACACACTACAAAAAGGGACAAACCAAAGGGTATGTGCTTAGTAAGAAGAGCTTTAAGTTTTCCCAAAATGTTAACTAAATTTTAGAGTAAAGACTAGTGATCTTTTTAAAGGGATGAGGGACCTATTTTTTTCTCATATACTAATTTTAAAGCACATAACCACTCTCCCTCCCTCTCTCCCAACACACACACACACACACACACACACACACACACACACACACACACACACACACAGTTTGACAGCTGTTCAGAACAAGACAGCTGCTGTCTCGGTGCTAAGAGAACAGTACTTGCAGTCACAACGGCTTTAGGCAAGCTATCAATCTCACTTCTCTTAACTGTTGCACGTATTACCCACAGATGACACTTGGGAGTGTGCTTTGTAAACAGTGAGCCTAAACAAATTTTTAGTTTTCAACCTAAGAGCAGCAAAGTATGATAAAGACCCATTTGTTGACAGGAAACAACGTAGACTCTGACAAGAACATCAAAAATCCTAACCATCACCGGTCACTCCAGAGATAACTAGCTCCTTCCATCATCAGGAGCCGCAGGGTGGAGGTAGCGACTACGTCACCAGGACATCCGCGACCCGCACCTCTATCGCCTAGACCCAGCTACGACTTCGGGCTGAGCGGGGCCTGCCTGGCTGGATCGGCGCTACCCAGCCGAGCCCAGGGTGGGGGAGGGGACGGTCAGGCCAGCCCTCACCCCTCGCTCCTCTCACCTGTTCGAGCGCCGCCTCTTCAGGAGGGCCCGGGCAGGGGGCACCGGCCGGTCACAGAAGCGGAAAATGGTGCCGAGAATCCTAACCAGCCATTTGTACATACCAGGCCCAAGCAGCAGCGGCGGCCGACACACCCCGAGACGCAAACCCCAGAGCTGTCGCCGCCGCTGCCGCCTTCGCCGCCTCAGCCACCACAGCCAAGGTTCGGTCGCTGACTTGTGACGCGATCCGAAGGCCCACAGATACAACGTCCCCAGGACTACAAGAGGCCCCCGCTTGCCACCCCTCTTGACGTCACCTCCTCTAGCCCAACCGGAAGACATCTTCGTCCTCAATCTGCGCACGCGCACCCTAGGACCCCCACCTCCCGAGCCTAGCAACCAGAATGCCTGCGGGACGGTCCCGGTCCAATCGTTGATGAGATCGAAAGGGCTGTGGGAGGGGTTTTCCCTTTGGCAGAGCCAATCCTGAGGCCGCCCGCGGGACAAGGCCCACAGACTACACGTGAGGCTTTTCCACCGCAAAGGAAGCTCTCCGGAGGCCTGAAATACAGTAGATACGCACTAAATGTTTGAGTACACAAAATAAAGATAAGGTTAATTAACAAATGTTTACCGTGCTAGGAGCCCTTTATCTTGCTTATGCCTTGTGCTTGACATGCATTGTCACCTTCATTTCTCTCAGCAACCGCAGGCAATGGAGAGTCTTGTGCCCATTTTTAATAAGGAAATCGAGGCAGAGAGCGATTAAGCAATTTGCCCTCACAAAGCTAGCTAGTGGAATAGCTGGAATTTGAACCCGGGTCTGAGGACCAGCGCCAATCCTTCACCCTTGAGGTTTACCGGGTGAGACATGATTACAAATTACAAGATAACTGGTAGCTGTTATAAAAGTGTGTGCCAAGTGCAGTAGGAGCCAGAGAAAAGGAAAAATCACACGCGGGTGAAAAGGGAAGGGCAGAATTCCAGGTTTGACCGAAGCTTAAGAATGAAAAGTTACCTGTGGCCTACTAGTACCTACAAGTCTCCTCCCCTAGGGTGCCAGGGAGTGCTAATTACTCTCTGTTATCTAGAAGTCACATTTCTGGTTAATTATCGACAATAGAAAAAGTCCCACCCTACTTAGTGATAGAAAATGCAGTCCCCACCCCTAAGCAGTCCTGAGAATCTTAAAAGTTTTTCACGCCCCACAAATCTCTCCCAGACTGCACTTGATTCTTACTTGTAATTCAATTAAGGTCAAACTTCCAGACTTGCTTGAACTTCAACACAGGCACTGCCCAGTAAAGCCTCACCCTTTGCTCAGTAAACAGTGTTCAGGAATTCTGCTACAAGCCACCCTCCAGAGCTCTAGAATAACCAGCTACCCACCTGTTGGACCGCCACTCTGTCATGGAATTGGGGCAGGGGGTGGGGGGGTTGGGGTGGGAGGGTGTCATTTCCTAAAGAATAGGACAAATCCTGGTGTGAACATAAACCTTTAATTTCCCAAAACAACTAATAACTGGATGTTACTGAAAAGTTTGAGAATATTTTAACAGAATTACAAAGCCTAGAAGATTTAGAAGTGGCTATTATAAATACAGCATCTACAGCTCATTGCCTCTCAAAAAGGACTCTACCCCTCCCCCACAAGGTCATCTCCCCACTCTTCTGAACAACTTTTATAAACCACCAACAGAAAAAATTTCCCCTCCACCTCTACCCCAACCCATTTCAGGTTGATTCAGTTAACTTAAGAGTAATGTTGGTGTTATTAGGCAGAACAGTTCAGCTGTGTTCCAGCTGTCCATTCCACTACAAGAGCTGCTCTTTGCTTTTGCCAAACTAAGAACACCACTCAAGTATTGGGAAGAGATTCCCCTTGCCCCCAAAAGAGCAGTTTTCATTCAAAAAATAAATCAGAAAACTGCAAGCTGCTTTAGAATAGCAGCTTCTCTCAGGTTCTGACCACCAAGATTAAAGAAATATTAACATCAAGTCTCAGAGCACTCTACTACAACACATTTTTTTTCTTTTCCTGCCTCATCAATAGCACCCGCACACACCCAATACCCAAATGTCGGCCACTTGCCTTTAAAAGTGGGAGGGTTTTGGAATTACAGACCTCAGTTTGAATCCCGGGGCCTCATCAGCAAACAACTCTTGAGTTGGCAGCTCCACCCCACTGAATACATACACCCCATTTGTGTCTTCTTAGTGTCTCTAGTTGAACTCTAAAATGGAGAAAAGTGGACTCAGTCTTACGATCGCTTCCTCCTGGGACTTTGTCTGCCCATTGATGCCTTCGCTCTTCTGTTGTCCACAGTAAGGGCATAAGCCACTGCCCATTGGTAGGTCAAGGAGTGGAATTATCCTTAACCCCAATCTTACCACTGCCACAGCCATTCCTAGATCCAGAGACTTTCATGGGAGGGCCAGAGGAGAGTTCCATAGCCACATGGAGTAACAAGGACATTGAGATTTTTGGCCCTGGTTTGAATAACTTGAATCCTAGTACTGCTGGAGGGGCACAACCTCATTGCTTAAGTTTCCATTGGATATCCTAAATGGTTGCCTTAGTTTTCCAAAAAGATGGTTGGCTGCCTCTTGCTTAGATCCTATCCTTCAAACATTTCCAAGGCCCCGCCTCCATCTTCCTCAAACCCTACCTCTGCTCTGCAGAATAATGAAGACCCAGCCCTCCAATCCATTCTTTAGTCTTGCAAATTTTCACTTTGCCATCATTAGCAGAGTCTTAAAAGATTTCCTCTCAACTTTGTTTTTGCTGACCCCTGTCAGAATGGAGTTCTGGGCTGTTTGATGGAAGGGGAAGGAGACCATAAATGAGATGTTAGTTTCATCCTAATGTACCTAAACTCTCACATAATTCACCACCCTAAAGATTCATTTTCTTATGCAGACCAACTTCTCTGCTGCTCAAGAAAAATATGTCCTCCTTATAACGTGACTTCGATCTTATTCAATCCAATAATACTTTATTATCTAAAAGCAAATACTATTCTTTCTTATCCTAGATTTTACTATAAAATTTGCTCACATTGACTACAAATGGCTTGGCCTGCCTCAAATGGAGGAATAATGGCACCAGGCCTTACTTCAGCTTGTTTTCTAATCTGTAAAATAGAGTTAAACCTGCCTCTCAGATCTGTGTGCTGACTAAATGCGTTTATATTTTTGAAGGCCCAACACAGCTAAGTGCTTAATGTTTCCTTCCTCCTCCTTCCTTCTCATACTTACCTTGCCAATTCTGCATCCTACATTTTCTACAGACCTGCCCCTTCCCTTCTCTAAACCCAAAGAACTGATCATTCAAGGACTGATCATTTCTCACACCATTGCAATAGCCACCTCTTTTCTACTCAGTCCCTCTTATATGCTATTTTCAGGGTGAGCTCTCTTTTTGTCTTTTTTTGTTGTTGTTTTGTTGCCTTTTGTTGTTGTTAAGGACAGTAAATTTATATTATCATTGTACATATTTAGTAAGGATAGTAAATTTATAAATTAAATTTCTGTTTTTCTGTTACTGAATGACTAAAACTGGCGGGGTTGATTTTCACCAAATTCCAGAGGTTTCTTTGGAGTGGGGAGCAGCTGAAACTGAGGTACAGCCAGAAAAGGAGGATGCTTGCAGGCGAGAAATACTCTGCTGAGTTAGACAGCAGGAACCCCTTGTGGGGCCTAAAAAAATAAAACTTTTCCTCCCACCTTCTAAATTCTTCTAGCTGAATAATCAAATTACCAGAAACAGATTAACAGGAGAAAATCAAAATTTTACTACATGCACATGGGGAAGTCATATAAGCATTAAAATTCCAAAGACAGTGAGGTAAAATTGGATATATATGTCACTTTGGATAAATGATAAGAGGGGAGGGGGTAAGGGGTCTGAGATTCTGAAAGTGAGAGTGGGCAATTCACAGGTAGTTGAGGAAGAGGGGAACGTACTAGAATGTACATGGCAGGTAAATTTTTGCTAGGTAAGCCAGAAGCAATGAGATGGAGTAATCTAGTAAACAGGCCCCCGTTTGATGCCCTCCCACCCACCATACTCAATTCAAATTAGGCTGCTAAGGCCAACATCCTAAAATGTCCTTACTGGAGTAGTTCTTTCCCTCTGAATCTCTTAGGCAGGAAAGTGGGGAAGGTCTAAGAGTCTTTCTGAGTCATTTCTTAATAACCAGCTTAAAAATCAATGTCTCAGAAGGCAAAAGTTTTGGTCCCCTTCACCCCCTAGTGGCTCACAATGGTTCTGAATGGGAGCCCAAGGCATAAGTCACAAGGACAGACCTTTCAAATTACAGGGGTGGGTTTTTCCATAGATTTGCCTCTCGCACAGACCACCATGTGTGCATGCTTCAGGAAATAATTGTCTAATGAAGGTGCAGAATTCTCATGAACAAGACTTGAGAAACCAGGTAAGTAAAAGTAAAAGCAGAAATCTTTAAACAACAGCTTAAGATCCAAATAAATCTAAAGTACATGGTACTGATAAATATTAAATATTGGACATTCCCCCAAAATTTTTGTTTAAATTTTTAGAAATTCTAGTAAGTGGAAGCATTTTGCCTTTGTCTTGTCAGTGTGCATCCAGAGCTATGCTAGAGCAGTCTCTCCTTGGAATGTTCTGTGCAGCACTTTGAAAACAAGCAGTTACTGAAAGCCCTGGACTTGCATTGATTTTGCTCGATACAATGTTTGTAAGAAAGTCATGGTTCATAAAACAAAGTAGCTCTATTCCATAAAAATACTTCTTAGGCCCAAAAAGTAGTATGCAGACATTTCCTTCTTGTTTTGTAATAAACTACCTAAAAAAATTATTCACATAATAATGTTAAAAATTTAATGTAATTATCTTATGTATACTATATTATTTATTACATTTACTGCATATTTTATATAAAGAAAGTCATGGTTCATAAAACAAAGTAGCTCTATTCCATAAAAATACTTCTTAGGCCCAAAAAGTAGTATGCAGACATTTCCTTCTTGTTTTGTAATAAACTACCTAAAAAAATTATTCACATAATAATGTTAAAAATTTAATGTAATTATCTTATGTATACTATATTATTTATTACATTTACTGCATATTTTATGTATTTTATATCTATTTGTATCATTATATAATAGTAATATATTAATATATAAATAAGTGAACAAGACAAAGCTAAGTTCCCACTGTCTTAAAGATAAAATCCAATATCCTAAGTGAGACAGGACATCACTTGTAAAATTCTTAATCTTTTAACAGGAAATGAAATGGGACATCTCTTGCAGAGTTAATCTTTTTAGTAACTTAACCTAGTTAAGTTTTCTTCCCTTCTTTCTTTGGAAAA